CCCCTTGCCTTAGGAGACCTAGGAGACGTATCTAGAAAAATCTTGCTACGACTGATGTCAGACAGATTACTGCCTGTGTTCTAGGATTTTTATGGCTTCGGGTCTCACATTTAGGTCTTTAATCCATTTTGAGTTTATTTTTGTGTGTAGTGTTAAAGGGTGGTCCAGTTTCATTCTTTTGGTTGCAGCTGTCCAGTTTTCCCAGCACCATTCATTGAAGAGACTGTTTTTCCCCATTGTATATTCTTGCTTTCTGTATCATAGATTGACCATATAATTACGGGTTTATTTCTGGGCTCTGTGTTCTGTTCCATTGGTCTATGTCTCTCTTTCTTTTTTTTGAATGCCAGCACCATACTGTTTTGATTACTACAGCCTTCTAGTGTATATTAAAATCTGAATTCTGATACCTCCAGCTTTGTTTTTCTTTCTTAAGATGGCTTTGGCTATTTGAGGTCTTTTGTGGCTTCATACGTATTTTGGTGTTTTTTCTTCTAGTTTTGTGAAAAATGCTGTTGGTATATTGTTCAGGGATTACACTGAATCTGTAGATGGCTTTGGGAAATATGGATGTTTTAACAATATTAATTTTTCCAGTCCATAAGCACGGAATACCTGTTTTCTGTCATCAATGTCTTATAGTCAATCCAATGTCAATTCAATGTCAATTGAATGTCAATTCAATGTCAATGTCAATTTCTTTCATCAATGTCTTATAGTTCAGAGTATAAGTCTCACCTCTTTGATTAAGTTTATTTCTAGGTATTTTATTATTCTCGGTGCAGTTGAAAATGGGAGTGTTTTTAAAATTTTTCTTTCTGCTGCTTCATTATTAGTGTATATAAATGCTACGAATTTCTGCTACTAATTTTGCATCCTGCAACTTTCCGGAATGCACTCACTACTTCCAGTAGTGTTTTGGTAGTCTTAAGGATTTTCTAAAAATTTTTTTTTCAACGTTTATTTATTTTTGCGACAGAGAGAGACAGAGCATGAACAGGGGAGGGGCAGAGAGAGAGGGAGACACAGAATCGGAAACAGGCTCCAGGCTCTGAGCCATCAGCCCAGAGCCTGACGCGGGGCTCGAACTCACGGACCGCGAGATCGTGACCTGGCTGAAGTCGGACGCTTAACCGACTGCGCCACCCAGGCGCCCCAAGGATTTTCTATGTATAGTATCATGTCATCCGGAAATATTGACAGTTTAACTTCTTTACCAACGTGGACACTTCTTATTTCTTTTTCTTATCTGATTGCTATGGCTAGGACTTCCAGTACTACATTGAATAAACGTGGTGAGAGTGGACATCCTTGTCTTATTCC